CCTTTGCAGCAGCGTCCGCCACATTTCTAGGCCCCCTGTTTAGACAGAGTCCCCTCTGCGTTCTCAGGGCAGCTTCATCGGTCCGGCTGCGGACCCACTGGTTCTTGTTGGACAGCTCGGTCACAACCCTTTTGGGCAGGAAGAAACCGGGGACCTGGGACACGCCGGTCACGGTTTGCCCGCCAGCCCCCAGCACATCTGTGGGGTCACTGCCCCGTCCTGCATTTCCTGATGCCCTGTCCCTGGAGCCCCCCAAACTCACAGGCTCCCTGCAAACACAACCCAAGGAGGGTGTCCCGTTGGCGGAGACCTAAAGCCACACGTGGAATTTCTAAAGGGTCGCTCCGGGACATCTCCGAACTCACAGCGAAGGAACTATCCCAGGACACACGGACCCGCACCGGGTGGCTGCCGGCCTGCGCCTCCCCTTGGCCTTCCTGGGGCAGGCGAGCACAGCCTCATGCCCTTTGATGTTGGGGGGCTCAGCCGCTCTTTGCCTGCACCCCACATCCCTCCTGAGCTTCCTTCCTCCCTTCCCCCTCTCCCTCCTCAACTGCTAGGATGAGCCGGGTCCTGGGAGACAGGAAAGCCCAGGAGTTCCCTGACGCTGCCACAGCAGAGGACCCCACACACGGGGCGGGGGCGGGGCGGGGGCGGGGCGGGGGCGGGGTGGGGGAGGGGGGTGGCTTGCTTAAAGCAACAGAGTGTGCGATCCAAAATCAAGGAGTCGGCAGCCCCGGGCACCCCCTGAAACCCGCCTCTTTCTGCTCTGCCCCGGCCGGCCCAGAGTCATCTCCCCCAGTCTCCGCCGTCCTCTGAGGACGGCAGGCAGATTGGGCGAAGGGACCACTCCTCGCCAGTCTGACCTCGTCGTCATAGTTACATCCGCCTGAGCCTGTTTCCAAACGAGGCCGAGTTCTGAGGCCCTGGGGGCATGGCGGCAAAGTATCTTTATTTTCGGGGAGGGGGGCGGGACATAATCGAACCCGCAGCACAAGGTAAACAGGGCCCCCGTCCTCAGATGGCATTGCCGCCATGACTGGCATCTTCGGTGGGGACCCACGTCTCACACGCAGCCCCACTAGTGCACACGGTCTGGCCCCGCGGGCAGGCCCGAGACCGAGGGGCCCGGGAGCGACACGCGTGTCCTCGTGGAGGGTGACCCAGGCTGAGCAGCCCCGGGAGACCAGGCTCTGGAAGGGCAGCTCCTCCGCCCGACCCCAGCTTCCCAACACTTGCCCTGCGGCCCCCCGAGTGCTGCTCGTCCCAGAGCTCGCCACTGTCTCCCACGCCTGGTCCTTTCCCGGTTTCTCCTCGTAACCTGCCCAGGAAGCAGTTCTCGGAAACCTCAGCTACCTGCGGGTGTGCAGGTGACACAGCGTGAGAAGGCCGGTGTGCCCAGGGCCAGCTGGCTCGGCCGGACGTGCCAGCACCTTACTTAGCACCTGCCCTGGGCTGTGTTTCGGGACATCCCCAAGGTGGGTCAGCTGGCCCCCCCACAAATGGGTCAGAACCACGATAATCACCCTGGATAGATGCCGTTGCAGTGCGCATGGAGTGGTTACAGGGGTAGCCACGCACCTCAGGGCGACCCCAGCTGGTCAGGGCCGTCAGCACTGGAACCCACGTCCTTCTGCCGCTCAACACTGCCCCCTGGAGGCCACCCCTGCACTCGTTCCCTCCAGGCGGGGCCACCCCCTGGCTCCGCCCACAGACGCAGCGGGCAGCGATGAATGGCATCACAAACCCTGCGCCCTGCACGTTTCTCGCCTGCGCACAGCTGCTGCTGCCTCTTCCTCTCACAGCCAGGGCTCCCCAACGCCCACGGACCGCCTCCCTTTTCCTTAGCCTGTGGCGTCTTAAGACATGGCTTTTGTCTCCGATTAGTCCTCCTCCCCACCCCCCAACACACACCACTTTGTAAGCTACTGCCCCAGGGAACCACACTCGACACTCCCCTCCCCCCACACCCCTGCGCTCGCTCGCGTGAGCCGCCTGCCCAACCCTGCGGAGACCGCCATCTGTCCCTCCGCCCCTGCACCCCCTGGCCCCGCCCAGCAAGTCCCAGCTCAAGACACCTCCCCCAGGAAGACCCTCAGGTCGGCCCCCAGGTGAACACTCCCTCTCTCCTTCCCCTGAGTCACGGAGCACGTGACTCTGCCCCGGCCACACACGTGTTCCTGGGCCCCCCTCCCCCGAGAGCCCGTCCCCTGCAGAACATTGAAAACAGGGCCTCACGCCCCGGGTTTGTCACTTACCTCGGCGAAGCCCAGGTAGGTCACTGAACTGTCATGCGGGGGCAACGGCATTGGCCTCCAATCCTCGAGGAGTGTCCTGGGGTCAGCTGCCAGGTGCCTGACACTCACGGGCAGCCAGTGCCCGCTCCTCCCAGTCCCCTCCTCCCTCCACCCTGCCCCCCACGCTCCCCCGCGCCTGACTTCAGCCCTTGCTCACTCGGGGCCCCTCATCACCTGTTGGGCTAAGCGTTTACACCTGGACGGGCAGGGCGGGGCCCTACCTGGGAGAGGCAGGCATCCCAGGGGCCTGGCCACTGGGAAAGGTCCCAGGGCTCAGGCAGGAGGGGGGACACAGATGATAGCTCACGCCAGAGAGCTCACGCTGTCACTCTGTCCTCGCTCGGGGCTCCGTTCCAGCTGTCCAGACCTGCCCCAGGGGCTTCCCGAGAGACAGGGCTCTGGCCTCTGCCAGGTGGGCCCGGGCAGGGAGACCCCCAGCGGCCCCACGGCTGGAGGAGGAAGCTCCTCCTTGCAGGCCACCTGCGTCAGCTTTTACGCGTCCCTGGGCTGTTTCTTTGCTCTGTTCGAGCCTTTGGCACAGGCTGCCCTCCCTGGGCTCGGATCCCTGCAGGCCACCTCTTCGGAGGAGACCCGGCTGCCCCTTCCTCCAGGCCCACCAGAGGGCAGTGCAGAACACAGGGGATCCACACACCCGGGCCCTGGCACCCGCTGGACCAGCACAACCCAGGACCAAGGCAGGGTGACCCCAGAAGGCAGGGGATCCCCTGATCCCCTGCCCCACCTGCCCCCAGGGCCTAGCCTGGTGCGTGCACAATGTGTGACAAATGCATAAAAACACCCCTCTCTCCTCTCTCCAGTAACTCTTCATTTCCCCTCCATGCATTCCAGAGTCCCCGTTCTGGAATGACTCATTTCCTGTCGGTGACTCCTTCCTAGCGGAGTGGCACCTGGAGGAATGGCTGAATGGCGTAGAGAGCAAGAATCACAGGGGTTACCCCCTTCACGTGCAGCCATGCCTGCTGTGGGAACGTCGGCACCCTTGGTCTACAGGGAAATCAGTGTTTATTCCGCTGAAAAGTATACACGTTCTACTGCATACTTGTGGTGTGGGCCTTTCATGTCTACGTGCTTATTTCATTGCGATCATGGAACGTTTTAAACATACACAGGAGGGGAAAGAAGAGTGTAATGAACTCTGTTCCCATCACCGGCTTCGAGGACAACCCCCTTCCGCAAACTGAAGTGCCCTTTGCCCCTCAGGCTCTACCCCATCCTCTTGTATTTGCTGTGCAGGGGAGAGGGAAGAGATAAACCATGTATTTATTAATCTTAAAGCTTCTAGAACACGGGAGCTTCTAGTTCTGTGAGTTTTATGAAAACCCACCTCCTGGGCAGGCGGGTGGCAGGCTGGGGCTGGGGGCAGGCGGGTAGGAAGGCCTGGGCGAGGCTCCAAGACCAGCCCCACGTGGCAAGCCCGCCGGCTCGGCTGCAGCCGCAGCCCAATGGTGCCCTCTGACTGGCGGGGATCTGGGACTTCCCAAGGGCAGCCGTGCCCCCCGTTAGCAGAGATATGCCGCTGCTTCAGATGCCACGTCTGGGCTCAGCTCTTACTCCCTTCCTGGAACCTGGAGTCATTTGCTGTCTCCTCGGGTCACACAGCAGAGAGCTGTGCCCAGCAGCCCCCAGCCTGTCCCACCGACCGGACACGCTGCTCCTGGCCCCGGGTGCGGGCCCCTCCAACCACAGGGGCACGGTGCCCCTGAGCAAACCCAGGTGCCCCAGGGTCTTCTGCACTCAGAGACACAGCGGTGGCCCAACAAGTTGGTCCGGCCACTCTGGGCGGTGACAGCGGTGTCTGGGGACCGGTCCACATCGTGCGTGGAGTGTGGAGGGAGGAAGACACCCTCGGCTTCCTGGGGGGCTGGATTCACCCGGGGAACATGGGCTCCTGACTTTCGCAAACTCTCAGGGTCGGTGCTTTCACAGCACGGAGGGGACCTGTGTGCGTGGGCTGCGGGCTGAGCGCGGGTCCTGTTTGCTTACCGGTTGTGCGACCTTGAGGGGTTCCGCTCTCTAAGCCTCAGTCTTTGGCTGTGAATGGGCATTACAACCCTGGGCTCGGGGACACCTACAGGAGAACCCGGCCCAGCTCAGGGAAGAGTGCCTAGCGGCAGATGACACGTGCTGGTCCCTGCTGCCCAGGAGAAGGGCCCTCCCTCGACACTCCAGGCTCAGCGTCCCGGGGACCTGGACGGAAACTCGGGCATTCCTCAGAGCCGGCAGAGGGCTGAGGATGGGCCTGGAAATTGGAGCCGGTGGGGAGGAGGGAGGAGGTGCCATTCTCGCAGAATTCTCAGGCTACGCGGGGGACCCTGCCCTGAGTGTCCCCGGCACGGTGGGTGGCACTCTGACGTAGAGGGTGGCCCGGCAGAGACACTGGATGAGGCAGGGCAGGCTGGGAGGGAGGAGACGATGTAAAGATTGTACGGTCTCGGCGGGGCTGGTGGGGGTGTAAGAGCTGCCTCTGTAGGGCAGGGGGGAGACAGGTGAGGAGGGGCTATTCCGTGTTTAGGACCCTCGAGCTGCCACCCTGCAGAGGCACCAGAATTGGGCACAAAACACCCCCAGCTGGGGGCCCAGTCCCCAGCTCTCCCCGCAATGCAGCCAGGCAGCTTCATCCCTGTTTATGTTCCAAAACAAAACTAAAAGTCGCCACTCAAATTATCTGAAAAGAGTGCTCGATCACAGTTAAAAGCTTTATGTAATGTGCAGCCAGAACATCACAGACCGGTGGTCAGGGAGGAGAGCTCCCAGCACTGCCCAGGCAGGCCTCGCAGCCCAGAACGCCTCGCACACTCCCTTCCAGCCTCCACGACTGTTCCCCGCGCTGCAACCCAGGTGTGGACGCCGGCCGCGTCTGCAGAGGCTGCAGGGCCCGAGATCAAGACAGTCCGGTTCTCCACTGGGCTTCTGATTCGGCCACTGTACTTCCCTCCCCGACGAGAGGTCCAGAAAAGTCCACAGGGAGGGCGCCCAGGTCGGGCCCGGGATGAAGAAGAAGGCAGTTCAGACGCTGCGTCTTCGCCAGGAAGGGCGACTCCCGCCTGTGCCCGGCGGTTAACGTGGAGAAACCGGTGGGGCGCCATCATCGCTCGTGCTTAATGTTGGCCTCACTTCGCTCCAAGGTGACCCCACTGCCGTTCCGAGGGCCTTCCCTCTTGTTCCCGTCCTTCTCCGTGTAGAACTCCGCCAGCACGGGGCAGTGCTCGGACGCCACGCCGCCCCAGGACCAGTTATCTGGAATCCAAGGGTTCGTGAGGCCTTCTCGCACCACAGCGCAGTGACCTGGAGGGGGGCAGGGAAGAGACCCAGACATCAGGGAGGGGCTGGTGGGCCCCCTGGTGGACGGAGACCGACACTGCATGGGATGCGCGGGCTCCCCGCCCACACGCCTCAGCTACCTGCAGTGCCCGCCAGGGGAACGGGAGGTCTAGCACGATGATCTCATGACCCCTGAACCACAGCCCTGCACATGCCGGCAGAGGAGGGGAGATACACCCTGACTCCGGCTCAAACGGCCTGGACCTGTCAGTGCACACAGGTCTCTCTTCCTTTCTTTCCGACCAGGAGAGGAAAAAAAAAAATAGCGACTTTGGCTTTACCTGTGAAGACCTTCTTGAAGCTCTTGCTGATCCAGATGTTGTCCAGACACCGCGAGCCCTGGGGGTTCTTGGTGCTGATGTTGGTGCAGGTGTGCGCCGGGACCAGGGGGTGGAACTTCTCCCTCCTCAGCAGGTCGTGGTCACTGCTGTCTGGCCCCTGGCCGAAATCCCCCAAAACCACCACGTCTTTTTCTCCTGCAAGAGGAGGGCAGGAAATCAGGAGTGGACGTTGTGGAGGGAGGTGACCACGGCCTCCTTTTATGTGGGACCGAGCGTCTGGGATTTGAAACCCTGGAGGTGGGGGTGGGGAGCGGGGAATGGTGAGGATGGCAGCATGGTTCCCCATCTCCAGGCTTTTCCAAATTCCTTGTGCAAAAGCCCCCAAACCTTGAAGAGCGGGTTAGTGACCCACGTGGAAATGGGGGCGGGGTGGTGCACCGGCCACCCCTCTTCCAGCTCCTGTGTTCTGAATCTCGTGGCAGGAAAAGGCCTAAGGGTCTTACTCAGAGATTTTACAAAAGCTCGGAGACATTTACGGAGCCCAGAGGAAAGACCCCGTGAAGACACAGGGAGAAAGAAGGTGGCCATCTGGATGCCAAGGACAGAGGCCCCGGGAGAAACCAAGCCTGCTGACCCCTTGCCTTGAACTTCTGGCCTCAGAACCGTGAGAAAATAACCTTGTGCTGTGTGAGCCGCCCAGCAGACTCACGCGGAGCCAAAGTGCAAAGCTTTCCTCTCTGCAGTATTTACTTCCAACAACCCCCCCCCCCCCCCCCCAACATGGTCTTGTTTACACCAGAGCAAAGGGCAGCGGCCCCAGCTGGGCTCGGAGCGATTCCCATCCACAGCCAGGCCACCGCCGCGTGGAGGGAGCCACGTGATCACAGGGAGCGGTGCTTCTGTCACGCCTCACAAGGATTCACAGACGAGAGCGCAAAATGCATCTGAGCCACTCAGCAAGCCTTGCTCCTGGACACAGAGGTGCTTCAGTAACAATGGCTGGAGTAAGAAAGCTAAACGGCAACGCCAGAAGCCACCAGCAGAGGGCGCCAGCGCACTGCAGGTGACCCTCCTCTGGGGGCTTAAAAGGGGGAAAAGGGATGAAAGGGGGTAACCTTTGGAGGCTCCATTGCGGGGCCAACAGAGAGGCGCCCCTCACACTGTCAGTCCGAACAACTGGCACCCACAGCAGAGTGCGCCTGAGCCGTCTGGAGAAATCACTGCCAACTTTCAACTGGAAAGCTGAGCAGAGAATACATACTGTTAGTGAGTCACACCTGGCCGATGGGCCAGGCCCTCTCTGCAGGTAGGAAGCTGGGGCTCCAAGAGGCTGACTGGCTCGCCCAGAGCCACCAGCTCTCACTGCAGCGCTGGAAAGAGACAGCCCTGCGGATGTGGGCAGCTGCTCATCGCCCCACCCCCGGCGCCTGCTGCAGGGCAGACCCTCCACAGACACGTGTGGGTCGAGCCAGTGAGTGAGGCCTGAGATGCCCCGGATGGAACCCAGGCGCAGTCTGGTTTTGAAAGGGAAGGAGAGGCAGGGGCTGCGTGTGTTGCCGGTCAAGGAAAACTGAAGGTTAGAAGAGACTGAGGCAGAAGGTGCCCTAGGACGGGAGAGGTTCTCACTGGGGCGCAGGCCCAGAGAACTTGGGGCCGAGATGACAATTCCAGATGCGGGAGGGATGCCAGGGGCCCCGGTCAGAAAGGCAGCTCTGTGCAACGTCAGAGGTGAAAAGAACAGCTTATACTTTCCTCTGCACGCAGATCAATAGCTCTTTTTTTGAACAGGCTCGGCCAGGATTCTTGCATCTCCCATTGGTTACACGGGCAGCGCCGATGTTGCAGAGACAGCTCTCGCCTCCGCGAACCCCAGCCGTGCAGAGGCCTGGATTCTCCCAGACGGCAACCCCCTGGGGCGGGCTCCGAGTTGTTTCCCTGGTTCCCAGAAGCGGAGGGAGAATGCTCGGGGCTGATCTTCTAGTGAGTTTACAGATTCATAAAACATCAGCGACAACCGCAGCAGCCGGACCCCACCAAGGGCAGGTCCTACGCAGATGTCTGGCATCACTCAGGGCCAGGTTTCCCTCGTGCTGAGTGAGCCCCATGGGGTCTGAGGGGAGAAAATGCTGCCAGGCAACTGGCGAGGCCCCTGTGGACGTGAACTTGGACGCACATTCCAGACACAGGCAGAAAGGCCCGGAGTTTGTGCATTGATCTGGCTGTTTGCTCTGCTGGGAGCCTGGGAGCTGGAGGCTTGGTCTTCCTCTTGGCCACACCGCCCAGGGCGATCGATGGGGCCCCTTGCACGCTGGGCAGGCCGGGCACTTCCCGATACCTCCAGTCCTCCACGCCCACAGTGAGCACGCAGTTAGCACACAGGGGGTGTGAGCCATTGCCCACGCCTGGAGGCCGAGCCATGTGGGGGGTCAGTAGCCCTTCGGTGACCTGGACGCTAACCTGCCCAGATTCCCAGTGCACACCTCACCGCTCCCTGGAGAACAGAAAGACACAGGGCGCACCTCAGGTCACCCGAGGAGTCACGACCTGGCGTCTCTGTTTCCGTGTGTAAAGCACAAAACAAAATGAAAACGAGGGAAAGCTGGAGATCGAACAATAGAAATGGCCACGGGTTTTAACAGCCATCAAATCACCCTCTGTCCCACAAGAACGACCAAGTGCAGGTAAACGGCTTCCCACCTAGCGGCCGCATGCTTAGCCCAAAGACTCAAAAACGTAAGTGGAACGCTGGTCACAGCACATCCTGGCTCAAAATGTAGGCCGCATCTAGTGTCCCTGGCCGTCGGAAGGTGGACACCACCCACGTGTCCACTGGCTGGTGGACAGGCCAACGAAATGCGGTGTGCGTCCAGGGCGGGGCAGGAGCAGGCCCACGGTGGCCTGTGTGGACAGCAATGCCCTCAGTGAACAGGAAGACAAGAATGCACTGTGTTTTGCGCGCCACCACTGCAAACCCACATCTGCTTCGCCCTGTACCCGGGGGCACAGTGGCTGGCCTGCAAAAGGGGGACACTCTGGCGCGGGCCACAGCTGGGAGGGAACGCGAGGACAGTCAGCTGAATGCAGGAAGCCAGGCGCAGAGGGACAGACACTTTAAGACTCTGCTCCCCCGAGGTCCCTGGAGCAGGGACATTCACAGAGACAGAAAGTAGGATGGTGGTCGCCAGGGGCTGGGGCAGGGGGTGGGAGCCAGTGTTTCCTGGGGACAGAGTTTCAGGCTGGGGCGGTGAGACGGCTCTGGGGATGGTGGGGGTGGGGGTGCTGCACCCCCGCGTGAGTGCGCTCAGTGCCGCTGACGTGTGTGCTCACAGATGGTGAAGACAGCACATTTGGTGTTATGGATATTTTACTGCCCTGGCCTGTGAGACCCGGTTGGTTGGGCGCCATCCCATAAATGGAAAGGTTGCAGGTTCGATTCCCAGTCAGGGCACATGCCTGGGTTTTGGTTCGGTCCCCCAATCAGGGCGTGCACATGAGGCAGCCGATTAATATTTCTCTGTCACATGAATGTTTCTCTCTCTCTCTCTCACTGCCCTCCTTTTTCTCTCTTTAAAAGCCCGGAAAGAAAATATCTTTGGGTGAGGATTAAAAAAAATCTATCTTTAAGGTAAGACTGTAGCTTGACAGATCATTTCTGTAGTTGGATCTTCATAAATCGACCACCTTGCGAGGGGCCAGTTTAACAAGGAAAGGGCTCAGAAAGAATTCTGGGCGGTCAGCCCTCACCCAGAGCAGGCAGCATTCTGGAAAACCAAGCTGGGCTGAACGCCCCCGCCCCCCGCCCCCCGAGTCTGTGCTGCCTCGGCGACTCTGCCTCCCAGCAAACCCCTAGCAGAACCCCTTCTGTGCTGCTGGGGGCTGAGCCCGGGGGCCAGAGAGCCCACCGTCCTGCTGAAGCTCCGCTCTTTTTCAGGTTCTCGGGGCCCCTCCGGTACTTTCCGAGTCCACACACACCTGCCCCACACCGACAGGCTCGGTCCTTGCACGGACAGTTCCCGACCCCCAGGCACCTCTGTGGGGTCAGCACCACCGGGTCCCCCTCCGGTGGCACCTGACGTGCAGCGGTGACCTGCCGGAGGTCTGGCAGCCACTGAAGGAGCAGAGAGGCCGGCCCAGTTTCTCTGAGGGTCCAGGCCCTCAGGGCCGCCTGCGTGCCCCCAGGGAGAAAAACGGCCCATCCTGCCTGCCCATCGGGGCTCCCCCACTCCCCCTGTCCCTTGTCACCAGCTGTCTCCCTTTCACAAGACGAGACAGGCCGAGATGGAGGTGGCGCCGTGGCACGGCCCAGGTGGCTGAGCCCCGGACGAGCTGTCCCGGGGGAGGGTGCCAGCTTTGCCCCCTAGCGCTTTCCCTCACAGACCGCCTGAAAGCCACACAGCTGACACCGTGGCCCTGGCACGCTAGACGCGCAGAGACAGAGAGGTCATCATGCACAGGGCGTCCAGGTGCCAGCAGATGCTGGGGCGCCACTGTCTCCCGAACCCGTGCCAGGCACTGCAGCTGACCCGACCACTGGCCTACGGGATCAGAGCGCCACACGGGGAGGCCACCCCGCTGGCTGCCCCACAGGAGTGGGAGTTGTGGCCCGGCCATGGAGGAGGACCGTTTCCCACCTTTCAGCGTCTCCTGCAGGGTCTGGGCGAAGCTGGCCGCACGGTGGCTGTCGCTGTGGTTCTTGCTTGGATTCTCACCCCCAGGGAGGGGCAGGGCCGCCAGGTGAAGGTTCACGAGGGTGACGTCATGACTTCCCACCTGGACACGAGGAGACACAGGAGCAGGGGCAGACTGAGATACTGACCACTTCCAGTATCCTCACCACCCACTGGCGAACAGCTTCATGCACGGCGTCGACCACGGTGCACACAAGGCTGCCGCCGCCCTGGAGGCGAGCGAGGCGAGGTGAGGTGGGGCAGCCCCCCACAAGTCTGTTCGAGGCACCTACAGAACGGGGACCCACAGCACCTCCCACTCCCCCTGGGGCACACCTGAACGTGTCGGGGTTTTGGTTTTCCTCATGAGCAGCTACAAGAGGAGGGCAGGTGGCTCTAGCCCTGTGGCTAGTTAATGAAGGGGGGAGGGGCCCCTGGGTCCCCTGCCTGGACCCCCTGCTGGGACCGGCCTCCTTTCCCTCCCCACGCACATCCCGCCCACTGGAGACCACAGCACCCTGGGGCTGGCTTTCACCCGGCGTGCGGAGAACCAGAGCTGGCCGAACGCCGGCCACAGAGGCTCTGTCCCCGCTGGGGACCCTGGGGTGCAGGTCCCCTGAACTCCGCAGCATTGCTCAGCGGCCTGGGGTTGCACAACTCGGACTTCCGCTCGTCATGGCAACAAACACTAAACACTGCCAGGAAGGGAGGCATGCAGGGGGGACCCCCAGGAAGCGGCGGCTGCCAGTTCCGTCTTACAGATGTGACCCTGCTTGCTGCCACCGCCACCCAGCCCGAGGGCGCTCTGCAGCTGCGGCCCCGACCGCAAAGGGAAGGTCTTCGGGCCTTGGGCAGGGAAACCCCGCGTGGGGAGCCCAGGAAGAAGCCACACCTCTGTCCTGTGCCACCTGCTCGCCTAGAATGTGGCAGGAAGTAGAAGAGGCTGATTGCTTAATGCAGAGGATGTGGGCACTCACCCCTGACTCGAGGGCCCCCCTTTTACGGACCTGCTGCCCTGCTGGGCCAAAGCCGGCATAGCCGCTTTACCTAAAACAGGGCCCCGGAGGCTGTTAGGAGGGTTTAAAGGGGGCACGTGGCTGGTTCCCATGTCAGCACCACAAGCACAGGCCCCAGACACCCCCAGGGGTGTGGGTGCGCCCATGGAATGCCGGCAACTCTACAGCCACAGGGGCGGGAAGGGCGCAGGCCCCATCCGGGGCTAACCCAGCTGCCTCCAGCACACAGTAGCCCAGCTCCCTCCCCCTCGAGAGTGGAGCCCCGGGCCGGGCAGAAATGGTGCTGGGGTGTGGGGTGGCCCTCAGCTCCAGAGCTGTACCGGGGTACAGAGAAAGGGGACGTCCCCGACGCCCAGCAGGCGGCTTGCTGGGCCCTGAGACTTCCCGGCTAAGTGCCACGGGGACAGGTCCATCGAGGGCCCTCTTGGCGGTCCGTCCTGCTGACCTGCGTCTGAGGGCCTGCCGCCTGCTAACACCGGCCAGGGCGTCCGGGGAGCGGGGAGACCGTGCTGCTCCTCACCAGGTGGGACAGACAGACGGGCTCTGATGGGACAGACCGGCACGCGGGGGAGGGCGGGGGCTGATCGGGGGATGTCCTGGCCCCACAACCCAGCGGCTCCCCCCAAACTCCCTCCAAATCCGAAGGATCCCTCGAGACCGAGAGTCCTGGGCCGTACCCCAGAAATTCTGTAGGCCTTGGGGAGGGTGCAGGGATCCCCGAGTTTAGAAAATCTGCCCAGGTGACTGGGACGTGTGTCAGGTTTCGGAGCCAGCACCTGCTGCCCTTCCTGCCCAGGAGGCGGAGTCATCAGAGCTGAGGTGCCCCAACCCCTCTCCCTCCTGCACTGGACCAGTGCACCAGCCGAGGGCCACCCAGGACAGAACACGGCCGAGGCCAGCAGGCAGGGCCTCTCTGGCCCGCCGCTTCAAAGGGCACTTTAGTTTTTCCTTTTTAGAAGAAGTGGACTTTCATGGTGACTCGGAGCGGGTACCTTGAACCGCGCGAGGTACGGCCTGGGGCCCGAGGGCTTCCCGTGCCCGTTGCCGGGCGAGCTCTCCTGTGAGGTGGCGTCTCTCAGCTCCACGCCGGCCCAGGTGTCCCACAGGAACCCCAAGAAGCCGGCCCCCTGCAGGAGGAGAGGGGCGTTAGCGTGGAGAGGAGCGGTCTCGGGGCTGGGGGCGGAGGCAGGAGAGGCTGGGCTGTGAGGTTCCACTGGGGCTCACCGGCTGCTGCTGCAACACAGGCACAGCCTGGAGCCACGGCCTGGTCCTTCCTGCTGCCCCTCCCCCCAGGCCGCTCACACTGCCAGTTTCCTGGTTTCAACAGTGTTCTGTGCAGCCGGGGTGCCTGGGCACTTCTCTGTGTGTGGGTGCGAGGTGGGGCGAAGCCTGGACTGTGCACAGGGGTATCATTTTAGTCACCACATCCCAGGAGGCGGCCCCTCCCACTCCTAGGGGCCGGATGACTCAACTGCTCTGAGAGGCTAAGTAACTTCCCTAAAATCCCCCAGCTGGTAAACGGAGGTGCTGAGACTGAAGATGAAGTCTCCAGCACCCAGGGCCCGGCACCTGGGAAACGCTCAAGAAGTGTCTGCAAGATGGATGGACGGAGGTCCGGGCTGCCAGCCCCCCTGTGGAAGGGGTCAAGGCCCTCCGAGGGTGGACAGGGCCTCACTTGGGGGTCTAAAGCCCGGGAGTGGGGCGCTGGGAGGGCCGGGGAGGGGGTGGATAGGCAGGGTGGCATCAGCAGGCCCCAGGGCATGGTGCTGACCCTGGCCACCCCCACAGTCTGGAGGGGGACCCTCTGCCTGCCTCTTGCTGCCGCTGCCCCCTTGCATCAGACTGTGGACAAATGAGTTCATCTTCCTCGCCCTGCCTGCGGTCACTGTAATGGCCCCTGCAGCTGTGGGGTGAGGGCTGGAGGGGCGGCTGAAAGATGCCCAGGGTGGGGGGGGTGCATTTCAGGCCTGGGAGAGGTGCGGCCCTGCGGCCACTCTGTGGGGTTTGTCGACGCTGAGACAAGCACTCACGACTTAAAGATATCGTCTGGGAGACCCAGACGTGTTTAAATGTTTTTGGATTACTGCCCCTATTTAAAATTCAGGAAATTTCACATGAAAATACATATATCTGCACCTTCTGAGGAACCGAGTGACTTGTCCTCACTGGGCCCACACCCCCAGGGGGTGGGAGCTGGGGGAAGCAGCAGCTAGAGCCCCCAGCCCCACGTGGCCTGGCTGGCTGCGGCCTCTGGGTGCCCCCAGGCCCCTCCCACGCTCTGTGGATGACACATTCCAGGGCACACTATCTTTGAAATCCTCCAGCCACCCTGTGAGGTGAGGAAGGGGCTCTGTTCCCATTTCACAGATAAGGGAGTTGAGGCCGAAAGGCTGCAGTGGCTTGAACTCAGGCCTCCCTGCAACCGCACGCTACTGTCCGATGGCCCTGGCACCCCAACCTGGGGCAGGGTTTCCTGTCTTGTCCCTGCAACAGGCTGTGAGCCCCCCGCCTGGCGGGAGGGGCTCTACAAGGCTCGGGTCGGGACCCCCTGGGCTGACAAAGAGTGAAAACAGGCCGGGCCGGGCTGCAGGGTCTGCTTTCCTTGCCGGTGGGTGGGGAGCTGGTGGACAGCGCCTGGCGCGCACACACTGCCCTTTCCAGCGACCAGCTGAGTAGACGGTGACGGAGCGTCACGGGGAACACGAGAGCCTCGTGCGCCTGCGTGCATGCGTGCGGAGTGCTGCTCACGGCAACGACAGAGCCAGGAGCTGCGATTCCCGTGTGGACGGAGGAGGGACCCCGGGGCCAGGGGGGTGAGACCTAGATCCATTCCGACTCAGCTCTGCCCCCAGCCCGCCCTGACTGCACCAGGCTGCCACCCACAGCGACCGCCAGTGCTCTGCAACATAAAACCCAGAGCAGTAAGACCTACAGCATGTTTTCTGAGCAGCAGCTAAAAAGAGAGTTTACAGTCAATAAATGACTGGGCGCTTTTCATCCAGCACGCATTGTCATGGAAAAGCCCCAAATCTCAGTATCACTCACGTAAGTACGATGCAGATGCACTTTTAAGCATGTTTGGCATATTGGAGGTAAAAAGATAACATCTGCATGTACAGGAACATGACGCGATGACACAGTTTCTAATTCACGATTCACAGCCGAAAGTCTGTGTCAATGTCTAAAACGCCACCGATACTGAACTTTCCAGATGAGAAAAACTGATCCCGGCGTATGACATGCAAGAGTGAAAATGTGTACAGACACCCACCTGGGGGGTACTTAGGAAAGGAAGTTCAAAATCAAAACCTGCTGGAAACGGCCACCATTTCCACACGCACAGTTCCTACCACTGAACGCACGGATTGGGTGCCTGCAAAGCTTTCAGTCCGTGAACCTCGGGCTTCCTCCAGCAGGCTGGCCGGGGCAGGCGGTGGGAAGAGAGTGTAAGGACCAAGGACAGAGATACCCTGTCTGCCGCCTTGGCTCCCAACAGGATTTCTCCCAGGGCCCCAAACGCCCCTTCCCCTCCCCCTGGGCAGCCGTCCATTCCCAGTCTCAGCACGGACCAAACCTTGGGGCACTCTGAAATGGACGGCGTAGATGGGGGAGACGGCAGAACTGCATCAGGGGTGTCAGCACGGGAAAGTGCTGAAGGTCGGTGAGGAGGGAACAGGGCGCATCAGTAACGGGGAAGGTAAGTCTGCGGACGGACGAGGGTACCTTCTGGAGCGGCGTGGACGGCGTGTCGGCGACCACGGCCTTCCAGCAGCCCCGGGGCCCCTTCCACTTGCGGATGTTGGGCAGGATCGGCTGGTTCAGCTCCGCACAGAACTGCAAAGACAAGAGCACGTGTTTGGTTGGTGTGTGTCCCCCCCAGGGGGCGGCCGGAGGAGCCAGACAGTGCGTGGTCCTGACTCACTGGCCCAGACCACGAAATTCTGGAACCACAAATTGCAAAGCAAACTGCCCCTCTATGAAAAGCACAATTATCACCAGGGGACTCTCAGTGCCTTCCAGCACAAACAGTGCAAAACGAGCTGCCAGCATCCTTTGCACCCCTGTGACCCAGGGGATGCAGGTCCCAGCAGGCTGTAGCTCAGCACCAAAGGCAGAGGAAAACAGACTGCTATGTAGCGACCTCTCCTCCTGGGGGGTGTGGGGGGAGGTTAACTGAGAGGTGCGGACATCGCCCCTGCCCCCGATTCACCCTGCGGCACCCCATTGTTCACCCCAGTTTGTGTCTGAGAAGGAAGCCCCGCTCTCCTGGATGGCTTCTTAGTGCTTCTGTGAGTTCCACTAAGGCGGTGTGGGAACTGCAAGGCGATTTCACCCGAGGCAAAAACCACACAGCCAGTGTAAGATGAGGCGTCAAAAACGGGGCGCCTCACAGCTCCTCTACCTCATGCCCCCAACGCAATGCAACCTCTCAGCACCCCTTCCTTCCTTCCTCCCTCTCTCCCTCCCTCCCTCCTTCCTTCCTTCCTTCCTTCCTTCCTTCCTCCCTCCCTCCCTCCCTCCCTCCCTCCCTTCCTTCCTTCCTAGAATTCCTCGCCCAGGATACGTTTACTGATTTTAGAGAGAGAGGAAGGCGGGGGGGAGAGAGAGACAGAAAGAGAAACATCCCTCAGTTGCCTCCCACACGAGCCCCGACCGGGGATCGAAGCAGCGACCTTTCGGTGTACAGGATGACACTCCGACCAGCTGAGCCACCTGGCCAGGGCTTGGGGTTGGTTCCTAGGAGGGGCCCCCAGAATTTGTCAGATTTGGGCTCCATTTTCGAGACACTCCAACAGCTGGTACCAGCCTTTCCTGGGGACGTGGGCTCGTCCCTTGCTTTCGGCGCCTGGACCACAGCATGTGGCTCCCTTCTGGGAGCGTCACCGTGGCCTCTGCAGTGAGCTGCCCTGAACGGACCGCCGCCCCCCCCCCCCGCCCCAGCTCCGCCCCGGAGGCCCCCCAGCGGGGCCTGCAGCTCAGATCCACCCCCCCCCCCCACCTTGTGAACTGTATTTCCACCCTTGGAGCCACCCTCCCAGCTGCAGGTCTGTCTCCGTAGAACCACAAACGCGGCAGGTCCCGAAGGACCACGCCATTCCCCTCCCACTGCCCTGCCCACCCGCTGGCATCTGCATCCCTCCCCCTGCTCTGCTGCGTCCCTCTCCCACCACGTCACCATGTCCCACCTCCCCTCCCCCGCACTCGGCCCAGCCCACTGATTCTCCCGTCCCAGCTCCCGTCTGCAGCTCCTGCTTGATGTTCTCCAGTCCCGCCGCTGTGGCCTGCAGCTGCCTCTCTGCCCATCGACCGACTGGCCACGCTGACGCACCGCCCGTCAGCCAGCAGCCCCCTCTGGGGGATGCAGCTGCAGAGCACCTGCTCTTGCCCAGGTTCCCGGGTGGCCCACCTCCCAGAGCTCAGAGACGCCAGAGTCTACTGGCCTGGCCTGGGCCTCGTGGGGCTTACACGGCACGAGGGGAGAGGAAGCACAAGCGAGGACTCAGCCAGTCACTTCCACCACGACACGCCCTGCGGAGAAAGTGGGACTGGGCCAGGCGGGCGGCGTGCTGGGCGGCCCACTGTAGCTACGCATCTCGCTAGGAGTTCTCCTCCTCCTCCAGGTAGGTGGGTCGGGTCTGCCTCTCCCCAGCAGGGGACGCTGTAAAGCAGGGCCTGTACCCGAGTCACCTTCACAAAGCCCACCTGGCACAGAGCTCGGAGCCCAGTGACGCCCTCCAACTGCACGCTGGTGAACCAGGACATGTCTCAAGGTCACGCAGGACAAACCAAAGCGGGGAATGGCTCCTGGGAGCTAATGACTGAAATCACTGCCTCCATTTCCAGCCGCCTTGGAGTTTGCCTGGGAAGTGTTCTCCCTGGGGCGGGGCCTCCAATGCTGGCGGTGCCAGCGGCCGTGGGCCGTGCTGGTCCCGGTGGGGGCTTTGCCCTGCTGCCTCCCCTGGGCTGGCTGGTGCCGCCAGCAGCCACCCTCGGACAGGAAATGAAGCACTGTGGAAAACACAACTGGAATTTATGGACTCCAACTTTAGGGATCCAGAGAGAAAATGCACTTCACAAAGGGCCTGATTGCCCCCCGGGGGGTCATTAGGGCAGAATCCGAGAGTCACTGAAAAGGAAAGCAGCTCCCCACTGCCCACCTGGGCCGCACTGTTCTCCACACGGGGGGGTCCTGCACCCAGCTGCTCACCAGAATCTCCCAGCATGCACCGGGGAGGCTCTGTTTTTGCAAAGCCCCCCAGGGAGATCAGGCAACCAGCCAGTCAGGGAGGCCCAGCCTCCGACGCCCACCCACGGTGTGGGGACAGCCACCTGCAGGCAGCCAGAAACCACCTCATTCACCGTCCCAGGACCTTCTCACACCCGAAGACAGGTGACTCCCCCGTTCAGGCCCCGAGTCCCAGCCCAGCTGAAAGGGCCCCATCCCAGGCAAGGGCACTCTGATGGGGAGGGTCCGCCATGAGCTGAGGTGACACAGGACGACACTGTTTTCCGTGTTCACATTCTTAGAGCTGTCCCTGGGGGACTCGAGAGGTGCCGGTCAGAGCTCAACCAGAGTCACCTGGGAACTCACCAAACCTGCAAATTCCCAGGCCCCACCCCCCACAGGAACTTACTGGACCAGAGTCCCCGGTGACCCTGTGACCTGCCCTCTCGCAGTCCCTCCAGCTGACTCGGATGCCAGCTCAAAGTTGGTGTTGGAGGATGAAGGGAAGACAGACCCCTTTCTCTGTGGTTTATGTGTAAAAGTCCTTCCCTCCCAGGGAAACTCGGGGAGACCCGAGGGCCCATAGTTCCTGACACGGCTGGCTGCGGGTACTTGTGCCCTGCAGCCCTGCTCCCCAGCCCCTCCCGCAGCACCCCACCCCCTCCTTCTGCGTTTCCCACGTGCTTGGGGACCATGAATGATTTACAGGAGAAAAGTGTCGGCGGCTGAAAGCATCCTGTGCCCAGAGGTTCACGGTCAGCGTTGGGTTACAGTAGGTGTTTCCTCCTATTGCTGGGATCGGAAAAGGAGTTGCCGGCGTGGTAACTCGGTGGACAGTGTGCACGGCAGGTGTCAGCAGGCCTGAGGAGGGGGGCGCCGTTTAGGGCCTCCTCCTCAGGGTGGGGTCCCCAGGCCCACCGCATCCACCGCGCCGCCTGGGAGTCCGTACAGAATGCGTGGCCTTGGGCCGCACTGGGATCTGCATTGTCCCAGGGTCCCAGGGTGACGGGCAAGCTTTGGAGAAGCCCAAGTTCAAGGTTACACAGCTGGAAGTGTGTCTCCTGCCCTGTGCCTCAAAGGGGCGGGCCCGCCCGCCACAGCGAACCCTTGGATCCTCCCTCCTGAACATTTCCAAGGAAAACGAAGGCACCCTCTGAGAGCCCTCCCATCTGAGCTGTTTTATGCGGAACAGCTGGTTCTCGAGTTTTCTGCTTCGCCCACACAGCAGAAGGAAGACATAGTGCTCTCATAAGTCAAAACGGCTCGCCAGGGTACACAGGGCGGAAATGAAAAGGCGGAGGGGCGTGAGGCTGGAAACGGTCTCCCAGGTAACAGTGACCCGCTCACCTGAATCCTCCTGAGCCCCCCTCCCCCACACCACCTGTGCTTCTAAAATCCCAGAGGCTAACCCACTGCCGGCCTCTGTCAGGCTCACATCGGTTCTCGTGGATAAAACCCCAGATCTGCAGACTCCACCCCAGACCAAATGGGAACCTCCGAGGTCAGGGCCGAGGAGTGCGCTTCCGACAAAGCCCCTGAGCATTTTCAACGGCAGCCAGAGAAGCCCCGGGCAAGGCCCGGCGCGCTGACTTAGAACGCAACCTCCCTTCACACTGTGCGGTGCAGCCGCAGTCTGGCCGGCAGCTCTCATTATTCAACACGAACACTGGTGCCATCTCAGCCCAGCCCAGCCCAGCCCAGCCCTGAAAGCACCTGGCCTTGGCTCTCCACAGCCCACCCCAGGGGGGGGATTAGGCAGAAGGGAGCCGGCTGGCCACGGCGTGGCTCCCAGCAGGCAGGCCGCCGGTATCTGCAGGATGAATGAGTCAAAGGACACGCCCTGGGGACCGCACCTCTTGGCTTCTCTCTCCCAGGATAAGTTACAAGGATGACCAGGGTCTACGCTTGTTCTCTAGCTTCGGACCAAAGGGGGTGACGTCACCCTTCAGCACCCGCCCGCACCCTGCTGGGCAGACGGCAGAGTCGAATCCACCCTACTCTCTGGCGTGGCCAGACGGGGCCTCCAAGTGAGGAGCAAGAGGACTATAAAAATAGGAGAAGAAATACAAGATTCTCATAAACACGGACACTCCTTTCTCCCTCCTCTTCCGTGACAAGTGCCGTGTGGACTCCATGAAGAAGACGATTACATCGACGAGGCGTGGGGGCAGCTGTCCAGGGGCTGCCCCCCAGATGCGGGGAGTGGGCTCCACTCCCACAGAAGACGATACCAGCCTTCCTGGATGTCCCCTGAGCCCCACGCACCCGAAGGCCTGGAATAGGAGCTCACGTGTAATAGGTAGTCATTTCAACAGGTTACATCTGGCTACATCCAAGAATAGTCAGAACACACGGGCAGCCAGCAATCTACGGCCAGGTTTGCTTCCGAACCCACAGCAGAATCAGAGCAGGGAGGATCGGGGAGAAAAGGGAGCAACATCTGTTAAGTGCCACTGGGCTGCCGGGCACTCTACAAGGACTGTCCCAGTTCATCCCAAGGACAGCCCTGAAGGGCACCACAGCAAGGTCGCTCGGTGCCAGCAGGTGGCAGGATGAGAGGCCTGGCTTGGCCATGTCCGATGCCCCCACGCGCTCACTCAGGAGAGAA